TACCTGGCCCCGAACCCTGGCAGGTGGCATGGGAGGCACCCTGACATGCTCAGCAGGCCCAGGAGCACTGCCTGGCCCTGTCTGACCCTGCCTAGGCAAGCAGGATGGGCCCAGGCTGCCCCCTGGCCAGCTGGAAATTCAGGGTAGAACAGGCCCAAACTGCCTGCCAGCCTAGCTCAGCCATCTGGGAGCAGATCAGGCCCATCTTAGGGTATGTTGTAGCCCTGGGACAGGTGCCCATCCCTGACATTTTTGCAGGATTTTACCTGCCAGCAATGGTGCCTTGCCAGGCCAAAAACAGCTGGGAGGGGTGCAGGGTTAGGGTTAGGGTTATTGTCTCAGCTGGGGTGGGTAAGGTTGCTTGATTAGTTTCAGGGTCAGGACTGGGCTGATAGTTGCACATTGCAAGAGGTGGGCATGTGGCCAGGAGGGGCAGATGACAGAGGAGCACCTATGAAAAAGGGTGAGGAAATTACAAGGAAGATCATCTTCTTGCTATGCTGTGCAACCAAGGCAAGGGCAGGTGCTCAATCTGCATGCACAACCATGGCAACATCCTTGGAACAGACTGCGGTAGCTATATGGTGAGGTTGTGGAGCCGAAGAGGGGGGGATGGTTGGATATCAGCGGCATCTAGAAGAGAAGCGGTGGACGGAGGGACGAGAGGAGGTGTGTGCCGATGGCGCACGAGCGGTCGACGAACGAGCGCGCATGCGAGCGAACGAGCGAGCGAAGCTGGCCGGTTCGCCGGGCCATAAATGACGGCGTGCAACGACGCACACGGGCGATCAAATTGCGCTGCAGCGAGCAGCGGATGAACGGCGCCAGCACGACCGTCTTGCCCACCTCTCAGAAGCGAGTGCCTCGACCACTCAGCGCGCGCACCTAGAGTCGGTTCTCTATCGCATCGCCTCTAGTTGTTCTTCCGCCGCCCGACCGAAGCACACCTATCCCTCAAGGTCGGCAAGCATCCGGTCCGATGTCGCCGCAACGACAGCGGCGCCTCACCAGTACGTCTCGGCGCGCGGTTCGGGCCCATCGACGATTCCTGCCTTGGCGCGCTTGCGCTTTTCGGCGGCCCAGCGGTCGAACCACTTGGACATCTTGGCACGGCTCGCGTGGGAGCCGACGTTGACCGTCGCGATGATCCGGTCGTACCTCGTCGAGAGCGCAAACGAGGTCAGCTCAAACTGTCCGTGGGGAGGGCGAGAAGACGAGGGCGAGAAGGTGCGGTCAGCGATACATGTCTTGGATCGCGTGGAGAAAGGGGAAGCCCGGCGAGGGCCCGAAGAGGTCGACCGAACGCGGTGTCGATCTCGATGCAGCAAAGCAGCGCCATCGGCGTGCCAGGGCAGGCGCGGTGCCAGCGAAAGCGCGTCGGAACGTGCTCGCGTCGTCCGGGGAAGAGCGAGCGGGGCGAAAGAGGCCGTTGGTGCAATCGTGTCGACGAGGGGCGTGAGTGCAAGACGACGTCGGCAAGACAGACGATGCCGAGGCTCGCGCCGATGCGTCGGCGATGAGATGGTCGGCGTATGGAGAGGTCGACAAGGGAAAGCAAGGGCTCGAAGCTGGCTCGTAAAGCCTCGGGCCAGACGGCGCTGTCGGGCGAGACCTCGATGCCCAGCTGACGAGGTGGCGGGTGCGGAAGAGCAGCCCGACAGATGCCTGCAGGAACGGATGCCGCGGTGACGCTGGCGTGCCCACAGCGACGGGCAGAGAGCCCGTGTCTCGACGACCGACAGTAGCGAGAGGCGGCCGACCGAACGACAAGTGCAGAGACGACAGCGCGAGAGGACACTCACAAAGCTCGAGTGCTCGGAATAGGGCACGCCGTAGATCATGTACTCGGGGGTGCTGTCGCGGGTGGGGAAGAAGCCGTGCGGGCCAAAGTTGCGCGCCTGGTTCCACTCGATGAGACGGTCGAGGTTGGGCGAGACAGTGTCGATGCCCGTGGGGGGCTTGTAGGTCCAGCCCGTGGGGCGAAAGGCGATGGCGTGGGTGAAGCCGCAGCCGCGGGCGCGCAGCGCGGCCACCATGTCGCGGAGGCCGTCGGCGTTGATGGCGTGCAGGTTGGTGACGTGGACGCTGGCGCGGTTGGGGTCGCGCGTCAGGAGCGAGTGGAGCTCCGGGTCCTCGAGCTGCGCATAGACGCGATACTTGCGCGAGTCGACGCAAAAGACCTTGGTCTTCATCTGGCGCGCCACGGCCTTGACGACCTTTTCCTTGCCGATCGTGTAGGTGCCGACGACGACGAGCAGGCGGCCCGACTGGCGCGCCATCGACACCGACGCCTTGGACGCGTGGCTCTGCTTGGCCAGCCAGTTGCGCGAGTTGGTCGCCTCCTCGGCGCCGTCTTCCTTCTTGACCTCGCCAGGGGAGCCGTCCTCTTGCTTGGCGGTGCGGGGTGGCCCAACGGGCGCTTCGCTACCGTGCTCTCGCTTGACCGTCGAGGCCAAGGCGGAGGTGCTGCTGGCACGCCGCGCAGAGCCTCTCATGGCGGTCGATGCCGGCGGAAGCATCGCCCTGTCCAAGCCGTCCGCGCCTTCCTGCTTGATCATGACAGGTTGGTCCGTAGAGGCCTGCGCGCCGGCATCCGCCGCGCCCTCCAACTTGATTGCCGCACCGCTGCGCTCGTCGCCCGCTTGCTGATCGGGAGAAGGGTCTGCAGTGGACGGCGCAGCAACGCTGAGCTGCCGCTGGCCTGGAGAAGGTAGCCGGGAAGCCGCGGTGGCCTCACTCGCCTGGGCATCGACGGACTCGGAGGGTATCGCCGTCTCGCTGCGAAGACTATCCTGGCCCAGCTCATCGCGAGAAGCTAGACCAGCTGTCGCGTTGGCCGACGCTGCACCGAAGCTGTCCTGGTCGGCATCCTCCTGCTTGACGAGGGAAGCGGTGGGCGATGCTTCGCCGCTTTGGTGCCCCTCGCTGGCTCCCGACGCATGGCCCGGTGCCGCCGGGGATGCGTCGGTGCTGCGGAGGGCGGCCTGGTGCCACAGCTCTTGCTCCTCGTCGTCGAAGCTCCCCATGCCGCGGTGGCCGCCGCGAGCAGCGAGCACCGAGTCCTCGTCCTCGAGCAGCGGCTCCTCGTCATCGCATTCGTCGCCAAGGGCGCCCTGTCCGGTCACCTTACCCGCCTCGGTGGTAGCGGGCCCTGCCTCGGCGCTGCTGTCGCTGTCGCTCCGTTGCCCCTGGGGCCTCCCGTCGACGCCGAGCCATCCCTTGAACGCCTTTGCGGCTGCGCTGCTCTGAGCGAGAGCGACCCGAGCGCTGGCGTTAAGACGCGGTGGCACGCGCCAATCTTCCTCTTCCTCGTGGTCGTCTCCTGCCTTGTTCTTCTGCTGGCCGCCCGCGCCGTCCTCGTCCTTGACCGGCATGAGGCGGCGGACGAGCTCGGCGCAGGCCTCGACGACCTGGTCCTGGGCGGGGAAGCAGTAGCGCGGGTTGCAGTAGGTGGTGTCGAGGTAGATGATGTCGAGCTTCTTGCCCTTGACCTGCGGGTGGTTGGTGTGAACGGGGCTGGCGCGAAAGTCGCCGCAGTGGAGGTAGCGAAAGATCTTGCCGGTGCCAATGTGCGGGCTGGCATGGGAGCGGGGCGAGAGAAGCGAGGCGGTCTGGGGACCCTCGAAGAGAAAGAGGCAGGAGCCGGGGCAGTGGTTTGCGTCGATGCAGGTGACGGTGACGCCGCCGCTGTCGGGGATGAGGGTGGGCACCTCCATGGGCAGGGGACGCAGCCACATATCGTCGACGCCGAGGCTGGTGCGACAGAGATTGGCGGTGGTGACGCTGCAGTAGACGGGGCCGTGGTTCCAGCTGCTCGAGAGGCCGCCGTAGTGGTCGCTGTGGAAGTGGGAGAGAAAGTAGCCCCTGCAGCCGTCGATGCGGCCGAAGCGGAAGGCGTCTACGCTGAGGGGCATGCCCTCGAGGACCTTGTAGAAGGGTGCGGTGCGGGCCGATGGCTTGTTGCGCGCGCGGCCGCGGTAGTTTGCGGCCTCGACTGCGTCTGCGGTAGCCCACTGCTTTGCCTCGGAGTGGGGCTTCATGAGGATGCTGAAGGCGGTGTCGCGCTCGGACTTGGTCGGTGCGGAGGCTGGGGGTGGCGGCAGAGGCTCGACGACCATGGTGCCCGCCTGAAGCCGATCGGAGAGGTGAGATATTGGGAACATGATGGCGGGGTCAGTGCCAGTCGAGGAGGGTGGATCGGTCGGTGCGGGCGTCTGTGAGCCCGAGTGCGGTGCGGGCGAGCACGATTCGGGGCGCGGAGGGTGCGCTGCGCCGTTGCGGACGAGTGCGGCCTGCTCTGCCGAGCGGACCTCGGAGGCGGCGTCGATCGAGGGTGGGAAGGAGGGCTTTTGGGATGAGATATCGAGGCATGTGTTGACATGGGCCTCGATGGTGCGGAAGGGGATGGGTCTGGAGCATACGGGGCAGTCGAGGAGCGAGTCGCCGGCGGTGCGGGCAGTCGTGGGTGGGCATGATGGCGGCGGTGGTGGCGGTGGCGACGAGTGGCTGTTTTTGGTGGTGGCGAGGCTTGCCTGGACTGCGACATCGATGTCGATGTCTTCTCTGCTGGTGCGTGGGCGGTGTTGGTTGGACGAGGGGGGGACGGAGGAGGAGGAGGACAATGGCGGTGGCTGGGGGTGCGGTGCGGCTGAGCGAGAGGCGGTAGCGCTGGCGGACGCTGGTGCTGGTGGTGCTGGGTTGGTGAAGAAGTTGAGCAGGTTGGGTTGCTTGGACGGCGAGTGGCCGAGTCTGCGGCGCTTGTTGGGCGAGGCCGATTGGTGGGTGGGTGCGGCGGGCATGGTGTAATAGCACGGAGGGGCGGAGATCAGATGAGCATGGATGTTTGCTTGAAGTCTACATGGAGAGGGGGTGTGCTGCGTGTGTGGCGATGGGGCGATGATTGCTGAGCTCGTAGTGGCGGTGGCGGCGATGGCGGCGATGGCGGCGGTGGCGGCGGTGGCGGCGGTGGCGATGGTGGCGGTGTGACGGCGGCGTTGGTGGCGGGTAGGTGGTGGGTCCGAAACAGGCTAGGCGGGGTTCAGCTTTGGGTGGCGTCAAGAGGGGCTCATGTCGAAAGCCTCCACCTCCTGCGACTGCGCAGCAACACAGAGGACGATGATGCGCTTGGCTCCTCGTCGTGGCCTCTCCGCTATCGCTCGCTCTCTCTCTCTCTCACTCCGCTCTCCTTCGCCCCTCTCTCATTCGCTCTCTCCATCACTTTGGTTGAGCCCTGTTCAAAGCGCACAGTAGCAGTCTTGCCCCGAATGACCGACCTGAGCTACAGCAGGAACCTCGTCCTCAGGTACAGGCCAGCCTCGAGCGCAGGCTCCCGCACCACGCGCACCCGCCCCAGCGCTCGACGGCCCCCGCCGCTGCCCCGCCTTGCGCTCCAGGCAGACACGAGCATCTCGACAAACCGCCCCTCGGTCCACAGCCCGCCGCCGAGCACCATCAGCCATGGTACCGCGTCCGCCCTCGCAGCCGTCCTCTCCTCGCCGTCGTCGTCGACTGTGAGCCGCTCGAGCAGCGCTACCAGATCGTCGATGGCTTCATCCAGCACCTCCCTGGCCAGCGCACGCGACGTCTCATAGTCGTCCTCGTCCTCGTGCCTGTCCTCGCCGCCTTTGTTGAAGCTGCTGCTGCTGCTGTTGCTGCCTTCCAAAGATGGCCCGCCAAACGCAGCGCTAAACACGGCCTGCGTCGCACCCGCCATCCACCGCTTCCGCGCATCCTCGGCGGCGTAGAAGCCGCTGCCCGCGTCGCCGTCGCCGCTCCACTCGCCGGACCGATCCACGTAGGTGGCTGCGATCAGCTCCTCGGGCGAAGACACTCCGAGAGCAGCGCACACGCGCCGCTCCAGCATCGTCTCGGTCGCCGCACCGTCCCTCCTCGCCGATCGGCGCTCCTCGTACCGGCGCAGCACCAGCTGGACGGCGGCCAGGCTGATCCGCCACCCGGACCCATGATCGCCTAGCACGTAGCCCCACCCGCCCGCACGCGACACCGTCTCGATCCCGGGCACCTCGCCGAGCTCGCCTCCTTCTTGCCCAGCTTCGCCGTCGCTTCGCCGGAAGCTGAAGCCGGCGCTTCCCGTACCCGCGATCAGGCACACGCACCGGTCCACCCCTGGCTCCCGCAGCATCGCCGCGGACAGCAGCACCGCATCGTTGCTGATCCACACCGCCGTCCGCTCGTCGCAGTACGGCGCCAGCAGCCGCCGCACCTCGTCCCTGAACCTCGTCGAGACTGTCCGAGACGAGATGCCCGCCGATCCGATCCATACCGCCTTGAACAGTGGGCCGCGGCCGGCGGATGCCGGAGAGGCTCGCTGCGGTGCCGTGTCGTCCTTGTCGCTGTCCTCGTCTTCTTCTTCGTCGACGCTCGGCGCAGAGGTGGGTGGCGAGGGCAGGTCGACGGCAGCGGAGTGACCCCCTTGATCCTCGATCGGCGTTGTTTCTCGTCGTCCGGCCTTGTCCTCGATCGTCGTTGTTTCTCGTCGTCCGGCCTTGCTGTCGACCTTTGACCCGGGGCAGTGGTAGCCTGCCTCGCGCAGCGCACCCTGGACAGCTTCGAGGACGACGCGCGCGGCCGCTTCGATGCCCAGCGTAGCGCTGCGCCGGATCCCCGCGAGGCCAGACGCCAACAACGAGCCAAAGTCGAGGGAGACGGTGTCAGCCAGTCTCGGCATCACCCATCCCCTGACGGTGACGTGACGGCTTGATATCCGGCGCCGTGACTGGACTCGACTCACCAGTTGCCGCTTCCGGTGCGGTAGGACCAGAGCTGGCCCTCGCCGCGCGATGCGACGACCGCCTGCGTCTTTGTCCCCCCCGCATCGACGCACACCACCAGATCGTCGGCGGTGGCCTGGGCGGGCTGCATCAGTGTTCGTGGCCTTCGAGGTCGGACGATGTTCTGAAATCCTCGCTGAGAGGTGGCGGGAAGGGTGCCTCGGTACCCGTTGGAAGTGGCGAGCGGCGATGGTGTACTGACATCGTGAGCCCGGCACCGAAGTGCGGTGCTTATGAGCTGTAGACGGCGGGGGTCGATGCCCACTGTGGTGCAGCCAGACACAGTAGTCGTTCGTCCGTGCTAACCCCGCTCCACGGCGGGCGCGACACCAGACATACCGGCCTCCTCGGCCAAGCATGCTGCACTGCTTCGCCACCGAAATCGTGTCCGAAAAGGTCGGCTACGGTGGGCGAGAGGGGCCAGAATCACCTCCCTCGGCCGGCCAAGACGGTGTAGATTGCGGCGTTGGGAGGACCGCCTTGCACCGCCATCGAGGTTCAGAGCGGACCGAGGGGGGGACGCAAGCCAATCGGTCGGCCTCGGTCCAAATCGGCCCGAGGCGTTTCCCACGCCGACTGACGCGTCGGTCGGGATGCTCGAGCGGCGGCGAGCACCGAGTTGGGTCTTGGCGAGCACCGGTCCGATGGTTCGCTGTCGTCTCTTCCGGCCGATGATACAGCTTCGAAGCTCCTTCCTCCTCCCAACGATGCGTCGGCCTCGTCGAAGTCGTGACTGAGGGCAGAGAGGTGGACTGATCGGCGCTCGACCGCGCGCATCGGTCCGTTGTGGCCGAGCATGCCTTCAATGCGAGCCGGCCTCGGTTCTTCTGATCGGACCAGAGCTTGAGCTGCTACCTCGAGCATCAAGGGATCGAATCCGAGTCGGCAGTGGCAGCAGCGGTATAAGTGGGATCGAAGCTGCGATCGTCGCTTGGCCTGACGGTCAACCTCGCCTTTGCTGCCCTAGCTCGGGATCAACCTTGGCCCCCGTACCCTCGTCCTCGACATCACATTCTCCTGACTCGCCGCCTCGACCCTCTGCGACATGCGCTGCATCATCCGTGACACGCCCGATGCCGTGGGGCGCTACGTGAGTCCAGTGCAATCCTCCCACAGCCCTTCAGTTGGCATCGACGCCACGCCGACGACCGGGCTGACCCTCTTCGCGCTCCCACCTCGACGACGCGCGGTGCAGAGCGGGGACTACGTCGCCGCCAGGATCCAAGCGCACTTTGCCTCGAGCGACCGCCGGTTCGTCCTCGGCTGTCCGACTGGATCGACGCCGCTCGCAACGTACCGCCGGCTGGTGCAGCTGTACGACGAGGGTCGGCTGAGCTTCCGAAACGTCGTCACGTTCAACATGGACGAGTATGTCGGCCTGCCCCGCGACCATCCGCAGTCGTACCACTCGTTCATGTGGCGCCACTTTTTCTCGCACAGTGAGTCCCCTCCCCAGTTGTGGTATCTCTTCATACCGCGATGTCCGGGCGAAGAAGCGGGGGCCGCCGGGAAGAGTTGCTTGGCTGATCGCGAAATCGCCTCGCCGCCCCGAAAGTCGATATCCAACCCTGCAACGTCCACATCCTCGACGGGACCGCGCCGGACCTCGTGGCCGAATGCGAGGCGTACGAGCGCGCGATCGCCGAGGCGGGCGGTATCGACCTCTTCCTGGCGGGCGCGGGCTCCGACGGGCACGTGGCGTTCAACGAGCCCGGATCGTCGCTGGCGTCGCGGACGCGCATCAAGACGCTGGCGCGCGACACGATCGCCGCCAACTCGCGCTTCTTTGACGACGACCCGGCCCAGGTGCCCCGCATGGCGCTCACCGTTGGCGTGCAGACCGTCCTCGATGCACGTGAAGTCGTCGTACTCGTCGTCGGGCAGCACAAGGCCGAGGCGCTGCGCAGGTGCATCGAGGACGGCGTCAGTCATATGGTAGGTAGCCCGGCCAGTGGTTTCAGGCCTGACCTTTGGGATTGGTGCGGTCGATGACATCCGGACTGATTTGCTGCTCTTCCTCCTCGCCGCCCCCCTGTCTGACCGCAGAACACCGTCTCGTGCGTGCAGCTGCACCCGAACCCCATGGTTGTGTCCGACGAGGACGCTGCATCTGGTGAGCCCCACCAGGCCTCTTTTCTTCCATTTCCAGCCGAGCGATCCAGCTGATGGATCCACGTCGGTCCCTGCCCCGGTAGAGCTGCGCGTCAGGACCTACCGCTACTTCAAGGACATCGAGCGCGCCCAGAACGAGGTCGAAGAGATGTACGGCCTGCAGGCCCGCGCTGGCGCCGGAAAGGGGGCGAGTGCGGCTGTGTTACCGCGCAGTGGGAGTGGGCCGCTCATCTAGGTCGATAGACAGCTCCGGATGCCCTTTGCCGATGAATTGAAATGGATTCCACTCCGTTGCAAGACTTGCTGTCGTCGTGGTGGCGGCGGTAGCAAAGGAGCCCTCCGAGCGTCCAACGCCCGGTATCGCTGCTCTTCAACGCCCTGCATCGACGAAGTCAGCGTCTCGGGCGACGGTAAAGACGACATAGACAAGGCGCAATGCCTTCTCGCTGCGTTGGAAGAACAGTAGTGTTGCACCTTCGCATTTTTCCATCTACATGGGCCGCGACCGGCCTCACATCGAGCCGCGCTCTCTGACAAGGACATGGAAATGAGGGAGCTGCGGCACGGATTGGAGCCGGGGCGGATTGGCAAAAAAGGCGACGTCGACGCAGCTGAGGTCCCAGGTGCGTCGGATGAAATCGACGAGGGGCATCGTGGCGCCTCGGAGCAGGTCGACGACTTCGCCTGCCGCTTTTGCGGTCGCGGAGGAGCAGAGATCGGGAAACGATTCGAGGCCGGGCGTGGCGAGCTTGGCTCCCGAGATGGTTCCACAGAGTCCACGCTGTCGCATCGTCGTCCATGATTGTTCCTTGATCGGCCCGTCGGGAAGCAGCTCTTCGTGCAGGATCGGAAGGCAGGACCAGACGACGTAGTGCGAGACGCCTACCACTCTTTCCCCGCCTCGCGATATCAGCAATCCATGCGTTTCCATCCTGCTCTCTTCGGCTCGGAAGCACTCACCCTCTGGGACGCTGTAAGGCCAGTCGTTGAGGAGCACCTGGCAATCACGACCATCGACCATGTCGGCGTGGAAGTACGGCTTGTCCATGTCCCCCTGCGCTACAGCCGACGCGGCGACGAGCCGGGGCGCGGTGATCTTGCGCTCGAGAATGTATCGCTGCACTGTTCCGTAGACGCTTTCGACGCGGCGACGCCAGCAGGAGTAGGCCTCGACGTCGTCGGGGTGACGGCGTAGGTCGTGCAGACGTCCGGTCGCTGTCTCGGCCCAAGACGAGGTTGCATCAGTGCCGACCTCAGGAGATGGACAGGATAGGCGACTCGTTCCGGCTCACAGATGATGTCGCATAGCTGCGTCCAGGTGAAGAGTGCTTGTCTTCGAGGGGTTCGGGGAAGGGCGATGCCGGAGCACTCTGGCGAGTTCGAGGCGCGGGGCCGAGTGGCGGGTGCACGTCGCTCGACGCCGAGCGGGTCGCCCAAGCGTTGGCAGCTTGAGAGCATCGTTGCGGCAGTTCTCGTTCAAGGAAAGGTCTCTGGGCAGTCAGAGGCGCGGGGTAGACATAGGGAGGATAGCAGACCGTATCGGAGAAGTTGCGTTGCGTTGGAAGTCGTGGGTCGGGAACGTGGAGAGGCGGAGAGACTTGCGACGAATCCTTCACCTTGAAGGTGCTTCTGAGCGAGAGAACCCTGCGCTATACATCATGGCTGCCGCAGAGCAAGACCGCAGAGATAGGCCTCCCGGCCCTCGGCGCGGTGCTTTCGGCGTCGACGAAGAGTAAGCTCTACGAACACTGAGGGAACCACTGACCTCGGCGGGTCGACCGATGCGACCAGGAAGCAGCTGCAACGTCGGTCCGAGAGCAGCGAGACCGCCGATGAGCCGAGGTCGGGCTGCTGCACTAGTCTTCGGCTTCTGGTCAAAGGGCAAAGGTGCGACGCCATTTCGGAACCTGTCAGGGATGGCGCGGGGATGCACGCTCGCGGCTCGGTCGCGTTCGGCCCGACGCCCGCCGAGGAAGCTTCGCCGACGACCACCTCGCGCCGATCCGGATCCCACCAACGGGTTGATGCGCTACTATGTTCACGAGCAGTGCACGGCCTGAGGATGCTCTCACGCGTCATGGCCAGCACTACTCGGAGACCAACCTACGTTCACGAAGGTCGAAGTCGGAAGTCAGGGAAGATGGGCACTTGGAGTCTGTGCAAGAGAGGAGGCTTGGCTGTGGAGCGCTGGCCATGAACGAGGTGACCGGCATCGGTCCTCGTCTAGCTACGCTGCCGGTCCGTCTCGTCCCTTTTGCCTCCTCGTCACGGCGCTACCTCTCGCTTGATGCTTTGTCCCTCCCGCTCCCTACCCCGACCCTGAGCGGGGCCCCGCTGTTCCCCTTGGTTGCGGCGCTCTCCTTGCTCGACGCGGACAACGCCTAGAAAAAGGCGCGCCAGTCCGCCCTCCTGCGAGATAGATGGTCACCTTGCACCTACACACACTTGTCGCCATACCCTCAATACGACGCTTTTCCCGCCCTCTCTATATCACACTGCCCGGCACCTCCCGCCTCACCGCGATGCCAGCGTCTGCCATGCCTTCGCCCTTGTCCGACAAGCAAGGCGACGAGCCGTGGCCGGCCAACGACGTCGTTCCCCACTCCGATGCCACCGTCGTCGTGGGCTTCGTCCATCATCGGCCAGGCTATTCTCTGCAGCCCGGTCCTGGCCTCGACGGAAGCTGCGACAGCCGAGGCAAAAGCACGCTGGTACGGCTGTACACGTCGTCGTGGTGCCAGCTGATGCTGCTCTCGTCGATCTTCTTCCTGTGCCCCGGCATGCTCAACGCGCTCAACGGCATGGGCGGAGGGGGCCAGGTGGACGCCACCGTGGCGGCGCAGGCCAACATTGCGCTGTACGCGTGCTTCAGCGTCCTCTCGTTCTTTTCCGGCAGCATCGTGGCGCGCATCGGCGTGCGCGCATCGCTCGTCGTCGGCGCCCTCGGATACACCCTCTACTGCGGCAGCTTCTGGTCGTACAACCTCAACTCGAACGGGGCTTTCGTGACGGCGTCGGGAGCTCTGCTGGGCGCGTGTGCCGCCCTTGTGTGGACTGTGCAGGGCGCCCTCGTCCTGGCCCTGCCCACGGAACGCCAGAGGGGGAGGTTCATCGCGACCTTTTGGATCCTCCTCAATCTCGGCGCTTGCATCGGTGCGGCGATTCAGCTCGGTCTGAGCTACTACAGCCAGACGTCGACCGTATCCGACGGCACCTATATCGCCTTCACCGTCCTCACCCTCTTCGGCGCGCTCCTCGGCCTCGCCGTCCTTCCGCCCGCCAGGATCATACGCAGCGACGGCACCCGCGTCTCGTCGTCCTCGTCGTCCTTGTCCACCCCTTCCTCGACGCCTTCGCTGGTTGGGGGACGACCTCGGGCCGACTGGAAGAGACAAGTGGCGGGCTCGGCGCTGCTCCTCATAAGAGATCCCTGGGTCCTCGTCCTGCTGCCGTGCTTCCTCGCCAGCAATTGGTTCTACACGTGGCAGTTCAACTGCTTCAACGGCGCCCTCTTCACGCTGCGCACGCGCGCCTTGAACAGCACCGTGTACTGGATGAGCCAGATGGCATCGAGCCTGCTCCTCGGGCGCATCCTCGACGAGCGGCGCTTCGGTCTGCGAACGCGCGCCTGGATCGGGCTGGCCATCACGGCCGTCCTGACCGCGGCCGTGTTCGGGGGGTCGTATGCCAAGCAGCGCGACTACACCCGCTCCTCGGTCGCCGATGGCACCACGCGCCGCATCGACTTTACCGACGCTGCTTCCATCTACGCCCCGCTCCTCTTCCTCTTCCTCCTCATGGGCGCCCTCGACGCCATCTGGCAGTGCTACACCCTCTACTCCATCGGCACGATCTCAAACGACTTTGACAAGCTCGCCCACCTCGCGGGCCTCTACAAGTGCTTCCAGAGCGCGGGCGCAGCTGTCGCGTTCGCACTCGATCGAAACCACCAGCCCTTCATGACCCAGCTCGCCGTCTGCTGGGCCCTCGCCCTCGTCGGCTGTGTCTGCTTTGCCTTCGTCGTCCATTACCGCGTCGCCGAAGAGATGATCGGTGCGCAGGAAGAAGGGGTCGAAGCCGGCAGCGTCGACGTTGCCGTCGCACCCCCGGTCAAAAATGACAAGGAGGCACAGGTATGACTCCGGCGGGACAGCTTTTGCCCTGGCAGTCGACCTTTTTGTATGACAGCACGCTTGAGCAATACCTAATTCCGAGCTCAGTGTGATGGTCTCGTGCCAAAAATGGCTGCAGATTAATGTTGGTCGAGGCGGAGAGCAAGCTGTTTGCCTCGATAGAGCGAACGTTCGCGACCGAGCGCGACAGCCGGTCGCTCAAAGCACCGCTAGGGCTGCCTCCATCGCCTCGACCAGCGCGCTGGCAATCTCGGCTGCAGGGTGGCGAATCATCGCAGGATGTTCGACGTGCCTGGGCTGCCTTGCGCCAGTATCACTACCGAGCAGCTCGGAAGGCGGCTGTACCTGATCTGCCGCTCTTCCAAGATCGTGATCGGCGCTTCGAGCATCGCCGCCACGTGATATCGGCTCGTCGGCCAGGCTGCTGCCCCGGGGGCCCACTATCGCCGTGCTTGCCGACTGCGTCTGACTCTGTTGAAGCTCTGCGGCATATTGATGGACGAACCACCGCATGCTGCGCAGCAAGTCGTCGCTCTGGGCACACGGCTGTGCAGAGGGTCCAACCTGAGCGCCGACGCTACCACCCTCGCTGTCTCGGCGATCCTGGAGCTCTTGCAAGTAGTGTCCGAGGCTGTGTGAGATGAGAAAGTGGTAGACGGCTGGCAGTTTGGCGAGGTTGCCGAGCAGCCCGCCGCGCGGATCGCACAGCAGCGATAGTGCGGCGGCCGTTGAGATGTTGCACAGCTCCGCCAACGCCTCGATCTCGCATTCGTGGTCGAGTTCTTCTTCCGGCGTGCCATCTGGCGCAGGCAGGTCGCGCACCTGCGAGCAGATGTAGACGCGGGCCAGGTGGAATAGCAGCGCCGCACAGCTGCGCGTCGCGGCATCCTCATCGCGACCTGTCAGAGGTAAGTGCCGAGAAGCAGGAAGGTGGAGTGCTCGGCACATGTCAGCGTCTCTGGTTGCGCTGAGCGTCCAAACGTTCCGTCGATTACCCTGACGAAAACTCACCGAGCCTGCGCTGGCATAGAAGGTGGTGCCTGAGCAGGTCGTCGGAGAGATTCCTGACATCGGCTGGCGAGAGGGCTCTCTTCTTGCGCAGCATCACGTCGGCGACCTGGGCATGGTACGCAAGCCGTACATCTGCCTTGGTGATCTCGGGCCGCACAGATGCCGTGTACGGAGCCTCATCGCACTGCGGATGGAGGAGAAAGGTCGTGTCGCCCTCGGCATCGGATCGGAAAGGGCCAATCAGCTCTTGACCGTGCATCACGCACTGAAAAACTTCGACGACGAAGGCGCTGAGCCGAACCCGCTCTCGATCGAGTCTGGAGATGTTCCGCAGTGGCGGTAGAATTGCGACCATCTCGCCAACGGTGAGATTGTCGGCGTCAGGTCGGTCGTAGGAGCATCTCGCGCTCCACCATCGTGCCGCGCGCGCCAGCTGCCACCCCTGATGCGAGGCGTCGTAGCTCGCGACTATGGCTGCGCCGACGATCTCTTCGGTGCCAATGCCGGTCTCGACGTTGAAAGGGTCGTCGGAGTCGATCGGGAAGTGGGCCGAGGTCCGTTCAAAGACGTCGTCACGGAGCGCGAGGAAGCGGCTCCGCAGCTGCGCGGTCGGCGAGAAGAGGCTCGCGACACTCGCGACGGCCGAGATCAGCACCGGCGTCATGTGCGAGCTGGCGGGAAACTCTGGGAAGCCAAAATTGAACGGCTGCACGCCTTTGGCATATCTTGGTGGGGCGAAGAGAGAAGCGCACGAGGGAGGAAGGGAGGGAGCCAGGCGCAGGCTTGTCAACTCGCAAGCTTCAGTTGCTTCTGCGCGAGGGAGCCCTGGCACGACCTCTAGAAGCCGACACTCACACTGCAAAGAGATGTCGCGCCTCGTGGATGGATACGAGGCCCAGACGGATCGCGTTGAGGCGGGGGTCGTCCATGCCGAGCCGAGGGCTGGGATAGCGGTAGAGGCTTTGCCGGCCAGGGACGCTGCATGATCCTTTTTTTCGCTCTCGAGACTGCCGGGCTGATGGAAGCGCATCTGGCGGTTGCCAGACCAAAATTGGAGCCACGGGCACGCTGGGCTTTTCCGTACCGCCTCGTTCGAGCTGCATCGTCGCTGCGGGGTCTTGGGCGTCGCCAGCGTGAGGCAGTTCGGGTCGAGGAGATGCCGCTGCACCGTCGTAGAGCAGCGCTGGGTTCCACTGGTCCAAGCATGGGTCTGTCCCCGGCATTGTTGGCTGCAACCGCGATTCCCAAGCGGGTCCGACGCGGGCGTCGCTCCCTTGCCTACCGAGGTCGGGCGCGACGGCTTGGACGGGGCGAGTCGGGTCCGTCGTGCCTAGCCCCGTGAGGGCATCAACACGGTCGGCGTCGCAGCTTGAATGCCAATGAGTAGTCGGTCCATCGTCACGATTGCCGCCTAGATCACCGTAATCATCGTCGTCTCCGGCACGCGCGGGCCCGAGCCCTTGTTGCGCAGCGGGGCGGGGTCTCGACGAAGGCGGTGGACCAGGCGTCATCGTTGCGTGATGACTTTGGTCAGCTCCGCGAGGAGAGTGCGATGCCTGTCCAGCTCGTCGAGGGGAGTACGATGCTGGTCCACCTCTGCTCTCTTTTTCAGCTGGCCGCGAGGGCGCCTGAACGGTGTCGGTCATGTTTGTATAGGAGCGAGCATTGGCCGCGCCACGACGAGGTCTTGCTGCATCCGCGACGGTGGCGGTTGGATCGTCGTCTCCGCTGCCATACTCGTCGACCGACGTCTCCGCTGGGCTCCTAGTCCGCCGAATCGGGTCGCGCGAGCTGCCCAGGCTGACCCTGGCTCGCTTCCGTCGTTCTGGCGGCGGTGTGAGGCTGATCGAGTCGCCATCCCTTTGCCGGTTCTGCCGATGCTGTCGCTGCTGCTGGCGTGCGATGCATTCGACGGCCTCGCTGAGCTTTGCGAGGACCGATTCCGTGCGCGTCCTCCAGTCGTACGCTCCAGGCTGGCCTCCCTGCCACTGCTCGAAGGCGCAAGTGTAGCCTGAAGCCCTGCACCTTTGGCACGGAGCCTGGCCGTCCTGGTTGATGCACTTGACCTTGGAGCGACGGCAGGAGGTGCACGTCGTGTTGGGCCGCCGCGGCGATGGCCGCTGCTGCTGCTGCGGCGGCGGATCGGTCCGTGACTGCGTGCTCATCTGCTGGAAGATCAACGAAAGGCCGGTAGGCGGCTGGACCGAGAGCGGTGGTGATGGTGGCCAGTCAGGAAGCAACGCAGCGTCGGTCGGTCCGGGAAGCCGTCGACGCGGTCAGTCGAGGCTGCGTGCAGTCTCGGTCGCCGGCCGATGAGGAGCTCCCGCGGTTGCTGGTGGGTGGTGTGCAAGCTGCCAGCCCGCGATCTCGAGCTAGACGGGTTGGTCCTAGAAAGCGGTACGGTGTCGACGATGGCGGGTGAAGGCGTGAGAGGCTCAAGCTTCGGCGGCGTCGGGCCGAGCCGAAGCGTCTGGCTTGCTTTGCCTGCTGCTGCTGCTGGCCTCGCTCCAGGTACGGCTGGCGGGCCCGGCTAGGATCGGCGCGGATCGGGCCGATGCCGCCGAGGCCTCGGCATGGGCGCCGCTGTCGCAGAGCAGGCGGTCCTCACCGGGCGAGCACCTCGGCAGAGGCCCGAGCCACCGCGATGCGTTTCTTGCCGTGGTTCGCCACCCGAGGTGGCCTGCTGAGATGCTGCCCCACTGGCTGGCTGACCTGGCCGCGATGGCGATCGCGCACGACCTCGAAGCGATGCTGGCGGAGTCAAAAAGGACGGCGGGCTGCCCCTTTATGACAATCACCTCGACCATCCAACTTCGCCACGCCTCCTGGCCACCCTCGGACCTACGCCCATCCCTGCTCCCACAGACGCTCGGCCAGCTGCCGCCGCACCCTCGCCTCGATGCCATCGGCCCATTTCGCAGGCTCTCCTGGCGCCGCAAACGGCTCAGCGGCAGGCCAGCGTGGCCTGCTGCGGCTCACCAACTGCTCTGCCCTGCTTCCCGACGGCAGCCTGGCCCACGACTACACCCTTCTCATCGACCGCGATACGGGCAGGATCGTCGACGGCCAGTCCGACTTCTACCACAACGGCCGCACCTACGCAGAGACAGTCGACCTCAAGGGCAACCTGCTCGTGCCGGGCTACATCGATGCCCAGATCAACGGCGCCTACGGCGTCGACTTTGGACACTTTGACGAGTCGCTGTCCACCGGCGATGCCCAGCGGCGGTACACCGAGGGCATGGACCGCTTCGCCACGAGGATCCTCGAGACGGGCGTGACGAGCTTTGTGCCCACCGTCATCACCCAGAAGCCCGAGCTGTACCGCAAGGTGAGTCGGCGCTCCTGGCAAGTAGGGTCAGCCATCGCCACAGTCACAGCGCTGACAGGTCCTGGAGTGCCGCCGCGCGCCTCCGCTGCAGATCTTGCCCGTCCTCGCGCCTCGCAGCAAACCCGTCCACGCCCACTCGCTCGGATTCCACGTCGAAGGTCCATTCATCTCGCCCTGCAAGAAGGGTATGCACTCTGACCTGCTCATCCGGTCAGCCGCCAACGGCATCGCAGACCTCGAAGACGTCTACGGCTCCGGGCCGAGCGGCCTCGACATGCGCGGCGTCAAGATTGTCACGGTCGCGCCCGAGATCGAAGGCGTGCTCGCTGCCATTCCGGAACTGCGGAAACGCGGCTGCACCATCTCAATCGGCCACACCAACAGCGACATCGATACGGCAGTCGAGGCACACGACGCAGGCGCCAGCCTCATCACGCACCTCTTCAACGCCATGAGCGCCTTTAACCATCGCGACCCGGGCGTCGTGGGGCTGCTCGGCCGGTCCAACCCGCCCGGGTCAAAGACCGCCGATGGCCACGCGCAGAACGGCAAGCAGCGGGAAGAGTCGAGGCCATACTATGGCATGATCGTAGATGGCTACCACTGCCACCCGTACTCGGTGCGGATGGCCTACAGCTGCCACCCGAGCGGCTGCGTGCTGACGAGCGATGGTGAGTGCGCGTCGACGGTGCGAGGGAGTTTGACGATCGGTTCTCCGAGCTGACGACCGGATCTGGCGCGATTCCGTCGCCGCAATGCCTCGCAGCGGTGCCCTGGATGGACCCGTCCAAGCCTGACGGCATCTACCCATGGCGAGAGGGGCAGAACGTGGCCAAGGTCGGCTTCAAGGTCGTCCTCGAGGGCACCGATACGCTGGCAGGCAGGTGAGCGCGGCGATCCACGCCCACGCACGACGATGCTCAGTGCTCCTTCTGACCTTCTGTCCTCTCTCCTGGTCATCTGCACGCTTGTCCGACGACAGCACGGTGCCGCTGTCCGAGTGCGTCAAACGACTTTCCGAGTACGCCTCGATACCGCTGCACGAGGCGGCGGCGTGCGCCACCATCCACCCGGCCAAGATGCTGGGCATCCAGGATCGAAAGGGGCTGCTGCAGCCGGGCAACGACGCCGACCTGACGGTGCTCGATGCACGGACTGGTGACGTGGTCGAGACGTGGATCATGGGCGTCCGAGCCTGGTCACGAGGAGAGGGTGCCGAGCAGAAGGTGTAGCTGGTAGGATTGTACCCTCGCCGCTCGTTACGTACAAGCTAGCGAATGATCGCGCGAAGCTAGACAGGCGTCATACGACACAGGCCGGAGGTCGGATGCCAGGCCTCACCGGGGAAGCTGTCTTCGTCTGATGTCAGAGCCAGCTTATCGACGGGTTGAGCATCTGAGTCGATGAGGAGGGACGGTGACAAGCGGAGGGCGTAGAAGCTCAGGGCTGAGAGGGGCACTAGCCTCTGGTGCGTGCGGGAGGACAAAGCGAGACAGATCCCAGCCCTGCAGGGACGCGCGGGGAAGAAGAGCCTGTGCTCGATGCGGGGAAAGGGGGGGGGGGGGGGGGTGGGGGTGGCGACGGGACGGAAGGCGGTCGACAGCTGTAGATCCTGGTGGAAGCGGGACCGGATGGCAGGGCATCGTAACGAATGTCCAATAAACGTGGTATCCCCGGTTCGCGCGTGCATTTTGGATGCTAACTATGTACAGGTGTGGCTCGATGAGAAAGGAACGGGAGGGCTCGACGCGGGAGAGGGAGGGAGGGGAGAGTCGTTGCGGTATCATTGCGTCTATATACGGGGTCGAGGAAGAGGGGGTTTAGGTCGTTGGCCTGCGCCCTGGGGAGACGAGATGAGATGCAGAGGGAAGGGGCGGGGGGGAGGGGAGGCGCCTAGTAAGAGCCCGAGTGCTTGAAGGGGCGGTTCTCAAAGGGGAGCTGCTCGTGCTGGGTCGAGTGGCACTCGTCTGCGAGGTGGTTGATGTTGTGGATGGGCCAGATGCAGAGCCAGACAAAGACGGCGATGACGAGGGGCAGCACGTCGAGCACGAACAGGTACACCTCGTGCGTCACCAGCTCGCCCTGGTGTCCCTGGACGAATTCGACGACACGGAAGACGCTTCGGATCTGCGGGGTGGGGCGGGGCGGAGGATGGGGGATCAAGATGGCAGGGATGGGGTCAGCGGGAGGGATCTGGGCGACTGCGAAACGGCGCGACGGACGCAGCGCCGGACAAACACTCACCATGACAAAGACGCTCGAGATGTAGGTGAGGACGATGAGGCTGCGGAGGCTGGTGCGCCACTGGATTTTTTCGCCGGTCGCCAGGTCCGAGACGCGGTACTTGTTGAGGCGGTAGGCGAGGACGGTGAAGGCGAGGATGTAGAGGCCGTAGACGCACGCCTGGCAGGTGACGCCGATGAGGAAGAGCTTGTTGCCGATGTCGACCGTCTTTTCCTGGGCCGTCATGCCGCCGCCGTACGACTGGATGAGGAAGGTGATGAGATCGCTGCAGACAAAGAGGCGGCCGGCGATGAGGGGCGGCATGAAGGAGAACCTGGACTTGACGTGCTTCTTCTTGATCGTATTTCCGCCCTTTTTCGTCGTCGACACGGCGGCGGCGGCGCACTCGGGGTCGGCGGCGAGGACGATGCGCTTGTAGAGCATGTAGTTGAACGCGATAAAGGCGCAGGGCGAGACGAGGACGAGCATCTGCGACACGGCGTAGATGGGGATGTTGAAGTCGCACGGGTCGACCTGGGTGCGCATGAAGAAGCCGGCGGCCGAGGCAAAGCAGCCGATGGGCAGCCAGAGCGACCAGCGCGCGCGCATCGTCGTCGCCCAGCGCCACACGAAGGCGAAGCCGAGCAGCGCGTAGACGATGCCCGCCACCATGTTGGCGATCTTGTTGGGCTTGTAGGCAATCGCCAGATAGAGGCAGTCCTCGGCCGGGTCGGCGGACGACATGGTTGCTCGGGATGACTTGGGCGATCGGCGCCGGGCCGGTCAAGCGGGTGTCAAGGGAATAAAGAGCGCCGAAGGCGAGGGGAAAGAGACTCTGGGAACAAGGCCAAAGGCGAGGGCGTGCGTTTGGGGGGGCTGGGACCGGTGCGAAGGCGACGTCGGTCGTGGATAAGCAGGGCAGCAAAGATGTGCGGTTGGCGGCTGGCTGGTGTGCTGGTATCGGCTGCGGAAACCAAGTCGTGAGCCGGTTCGTCGTCGAGTCGTTGTTGGTATCTCGAGGGATGGAGGCGCACCTGAGTGGTCGTCGAGTACGAAAGGACGAGGGCGAGGGTTATATATCTTGTCGCCGCCGCCTGGGCAAGATTGTTGAAAGGATGACTGGCTGTGGCGCATCTTCTCTGGAGCACGACCCATGAGGCGCTGAATAGAGGTGGACCGAAAGCGCGCCGCCGAGTGACTGGGAGCAGAGCACGCGAGAGAGGAGGCATAGGCCGAGGACGACGCCGGGCAGGCTTGGCATCGTCGACAGTCTCGGGCGTTGCCCCAGGCCTGGCCTGCCGGGCGCTACTGCCATGATCACAGAGCCCCTTAGCCGCCGTCGAGGTGCATGCTGGTGGAGGAAGGGCTGTGTTGTCTGACGTCTGCCCGAGGGCAGGTACCATGCCATAGATGGATGCTGGGTGTGACTAGAGTGTTGTGGCTGGGACCCGACGCGTGAGAGGGGGCTTGCGGCGCCCGGAAGTTGGGGAGGAGGCGGGGCGCGAGGACGCTTGTCCCGCCGGTCGTCGGAGCCAAGAAAAGAAGCGCGCGGCAAACTTCCGACACCACCAGACTGCCCTCGGCATTCGCTGCGTCCCCCCGGGCCTCTGCTGGCCGACGACGACGATGACGAAGACCAGCCGACAGACAGGCAGAGAGACAGTACGTCGTCATCGACAGCGGATCGGTCGTAGGCCGCTGCCGCTGAGCGTCCTGGGCGCATCGACGCGCCGCCCTTGGTCGACCCGAGGGGCGATGCAACATGGCCGATCGGCGACTTCGTCTTCCTTGGCTTCCCCGCGCAACACTCGATGCTCCCCGCCTCCCTTGTTCGGCTGCGCCTCCCTCATTCGGATGGGCGCCAGGCGATGGCCACCGGAGACGTCAATGCCGCGTGAGGCGGACGCACGCCCCCTACAACGCCCCAGCACGCAGTCGACGAGTGCAGCGCAGTGAGCATGGCGGCAAAAAGGCAAGTCTTGGTGTCCCCCCTCGGTCACATCGCGGCTGCGTCTGACAGCATACCGTCGCAGCGGGCTGTGAGCGAGCGACGTCCTTCAACAGCCAAAGATGCAACGGCCAGGCTGACGGTGCTGCCACTCACCTCAGCCTCACGGTGGGTCCAGGTGTGCAGCGAGAAGCGGGCACCGGTAGGACCGGGATTGACGCCGGCCCTCGAAAAAGGAAAAATAAAAAAAAAATTCGCCGTCGAAGCGAGCGTTCCAAGTTCCGACTGACAGCTCCGTCGGAACAGTGGGTGGGCCTGGCTGGCGAGGGGGAGAAGGACGTACGGGCGGTGCTCAGCTGCCACTCTTCCGGCGCCGGAAGAAGGCCTATGGTGCTTCGCCCCAGCCCCACACTCGATTGATGCGAGAAGGCGTCGGAACTGCCGCGTGGCAACCGGCCAGGCCCGTGCGAACCAACCGACGCATCACCACCCATGCCCGCTCCCTCATCACATCATCTCGTCGGCCTACCATAGCCACACACGGGCAGGCGCTGCGCTTGGAAGCTGCTCCCCTGGGGTGGACGTGGTGCGATGCATTCATTTCGACCGGTAGACGCGACGCCGCGTCGCCGACACAGCTCAGCACATGGTTGTCTCCCCCGCCTGTGCCATCCCACAAGGCTGCCGCGTGTATTGCGCCCCTGAGCTGCCATCCCCGGTGCTTCCGATTCCACCCTGAGACACACCATGTTGTCCCCCGATTAATCACTTTTTTCCCTCTCGTCGAGACTCCGTCTTGAACCGAGACGCAAAGAAAAAGACGGGTTGTCCAGTGTGGCCAGCGGGCGGTGGCGCGTGCGGGTGCGGGTACAGGTGCGGGTGCGGGTGCGGGTGCGGGTGTATGACGGCGGCCAAGGCTCTTCGGCTCAGCGCATCGTTCGGCCCATGTCATGATGGTGCTGGAAGTCGCCGCCGCCGCCGCTGCGGTGGTGGATCATGCCGAAACCGTCGTGCGACGGCGCAGCGTGGGTCGCCGAAGATGGGGGCGCCATGGCCGGGGCCGCACCCGTGGCCGACGAGGGAAAGAGATCCTCGAACAGCGAGTCGAGACCCGGAGGCACGTCGTGCAGGCTCGACGCGATGTCGGCGGGCAGCATCGAGGCGCCGCCCTGGCCAAAGGCCCACTCCTGGAACTCGTACTGATCTGTCGGATCCGGTTGCCAGTAGCCCGACGACGGCGTCCTGTCCGACATCGGCGCGGCGGCCAGTGGCGTCGTGAGCCAGCCGGGGCCGAGCGGCGACGTCCACGTCGCGCCATCAACGCCGATGTTGCCGTTGCCGCCGCCACCAGCGCCGGTGCCCTCGATCGGCATCTGGAACGCGAACCCCGAGTGACCCGATCCCCCGACGACGGCTTCGTCGCGAGCGCGGTTGACACGCCAGGCGTCGGCCGGCGCAGCAAACGTGGCGGCAGAGGCCGCATGCGCCGCTGCCGACGACGACGAGGCCGGCAAGGTGTCCGACGTGGGCGACGACACCGATGGCGTCGCACCGGGTGCAGGCCCTGCACCCGCGGCGCCAGCGAGGCCGGCACGGGCCGCGCTGCGACGACCGCGGGCGCTGTCCGAGGCCGCCGCGATCGCCTCTGTCGCCTCTATGTCGGGTCGCCCTGGGTCGTCCTCGACCAGTCTCGCCGGGGCCCAGCGATGGATGGTGGCGGCCAGGCGCCACTTTTCCATCAGGCCCGTCATCTGCCGCACGTATTCGGCCGCCGTTTGGGAGATGCTCATCGTCTCGAGATGGCCGCCGCCACCGCCACCACCGTCGCCATCGCTTCGCTCGGCCTCTGCGGCACGCAAGCCGAGCTTGGCGCCGCTCGCCGATGCTCGCGAGAAGACGAGGTGATTGCTGTCGGACTCGTAGAGACGGCGGTGGGCCTGGGCCATGAGGATGATCTGCTGGTCCGACTCGTCGTAGGGCCTGCCGTAGATCTGCAGCGCGCAGGCGATGCCTTCGATAAACGCCTTGCAGGCGTCGACGATAAAGGCGGCCGTGAGGCAGGCCGGCGCGCCCGTTGCCTCGACGGCGCCCTCGCTGGGTACACCGGCGAATCGAAACGGCTGGACGGCCGTCAGCGGGCGGTCGAACAGGACAAACGACGACACGGCCATGCTGGCCAGCTGCGTGTGCTGCGCGCCAACCTTGTAGAGGGGTTCGCGCAGCTCGGGGCTCGAAATGAGCGCGCGCATCAACGACTTTGGCGAGAACGCGTGGCTCAGCTGGCCCGAGTACAGCGCCAGGTTGCCCAAAAGGCCCAGCCTCGAGTAGAGCGAGGTCGACTCGATCTGGCACCACGCCTCGACGAGCAGGCCGACGCCGTTGCGCACAAAGACCGCCATCGCGGTCCGCTGGGCGTCATGGTCGGCCTTGCGCCGCTCGTAGGCCTCGAGGACCACATCGACGATGCGCTGCCGCATCGCCGCCTTGCGCCTCTGCGGCGACGTACTTGTCCGGTCGCGCTGTTTCGGGTTGTGATCGTGGTGGTGCTCATGGTCGTTGGCATGGTCGGCGTCGACCCAGTCGCGACCGGCGCGGTCGCCGCCGCTCGAAGACCGGTCGGGTTCGACGCCAGCTCGGTTTTCGTTGTAGTGGTGGATGACCGTCTCGATGGACGACAGGGCCGCATGGAAGCTGGCCATGCCGCGCATGCGGAAGGCTAGCAGCGTGCGGCCGGCGGAGCGTTCGAGCTCCTCGGTGGCTGCGGCCGACGCTCTGTCGTCGGCACCAGGCGCCGATGGGTCGCGCTGCGGTTTCGGAACGATCTCGTCGCCGACCGAGTCCCTCCGGACAAGCAGTTGGGCGCTTCGCGAGAGGCCCTCGAGGTCCGTCAGGGGTCGGATGAGGGGCCTGATCAGCGCGTAGTGGCCCTCCCACAGGCGCAGGCTGATCCAGAGCGACGCGGACGCGGCGAGGCGCTCGACCTGGCGCTGCTGCTCGGGGGTGCGCGCGGACAGGTCGAGGAGCGCGGCCACCCGGTGCGGGGCCTCGTCGATGCCAACGTCGCGGCAGATGTTGAGGGCGGCGGCGACAAGGTTCTGGCCGGCCAGGTCGCGCCCGCGGAGGGCCTGATCCTGGATCGAGGGACCGGCGGCGGCGGTCCCAACCAGGGCGGGCTCGTGCGCCACGAGCAGCTCGAGGGCCACGGCGGTGTGGAAGCTGCGCGGCGTCGAGACGAGCACCTGGGAGCCGAGGCGGTCGACGGCGCCCGAAAGCTGGCGAGGCAGCGGGCCGGAGAGGGGCTCGCGGTGGCGCACGGCGAGGAGGGCGAGCGTGACGAGGAGGAGCGATGAAGACTTGGTCGGATGCTGGCGGTGCTCGACGAAGGCGGTGCCGAGCAGGGGCATGTGCGGGTGCCAGCAGAGGTAGGGCTCGAGGTGCGGCTCGAGCGAGAGGCACGTCTGCTCGTCGAGCGTGTCGACGATGTCGATGACGCCCAGGCTCGGCGCCGGCGACGCGATCCGCTCGAGGAGGTGGGCGAGAAAGGCGTCCTGGGTCGAGGCGTAGCCCAGCAACACCGAAAACGGGCTCCATACCGACTTGCGCCCACCGTCGTGGTCCTCGTCGGCGGAAGCAGCGGTCGCAGCGGTCGCAGGCCAAGGGTCAAGGCTGCGGCGCCCATCGCCGTGGTGCAGGTGTGGCGCCCGCAACGACGGTCGTCGATCTGCCGTCGGCGGCCCGCGATCCGCCCGACCGTCGTCGTCCGGTCCGTCGCCGTACGGCGCGTGCGAGTCGGATGGATGGCGGTGGCCGTCCGGGTCGGCGGAAGAGGGGCGACGAGGTGGTCCAAAAAAGAGGAGGTCGCGAGCGGTGGTGCCTGCGGCGGCCGACACGGCAGCGGGCGACGTGGGGATCGAATCCGCCGCGTCGGCGGCCATCGACGGCGAGCGCAGGAGCGAGGCGAGCGTGGTGGCATGCGACGAGGCAGGCTGGTCGCGCAGCACGCTGCTATTGCTCCGGCTCCTCCGACTCCGGATCGGGCCCGCGCCGCCGTCGTTACGGCCTGCTCCGGCTTCGAGGCCGTGGGGGGTGGAATGGCTGCTGGATCTGCAGGCCGGGTTGCCCGGGCTCGACGGCCGGGAGCGTTTGGCTGGGCGTGCATCGGCGGCGGCGGCCAGCGTGTCGAGGTCCGACGTGGGTGGTGGCGGTGGTAAGCGCGGGGTACGCTTGCGGTCGCCGTCCCAGACGACGCAGTCAATCTGGAGCACACTGCACCGGTGGCATCGCTGGTGGTCGGGCACCGGCTGCCGCGACGAGGGGACGTGGAGATTGGGCAGCTCGCACCTTGCCTTTTTCGAGCGGCACTCGAGGCAGCTGCGCTTGGCGTTGGTCCGACGCGGCCGCTGCGGCGCAAGACCCGTCGCCGTCGCCGGAGTCGTCGCCATCGCTGTCGATGCGGCCGTCGCTGCCGCTGAAGTCGACGCGTTGGCGGGAGAGCCGACCGAGTTCGAAGACGACGACAAAGGGGAGGGCGTAGAGGTCACGGTCGCGCCATTGGCCCCGACGGGCTGCGAGGGCGGACGCATTGTCCGCGGATCGGGCCGGCCCGGCAGGCGGGGCAGTGTCGTCGTGACGTGCCTGTGCGCGGAGAGGACCCTCGGTCCGCTGTCAGCGGACAGCGTGTAGTTCAGGATACAGGGGGCCGATGACGATCGAAAAGAAGATTAGAGAGAGGCAAGGATGAGGCAGCCAGTGCGCGGAAATGGGACGAGGGCCAGGTCCATGGACGGCCGCAGGCGGTGGTGGTGACGAAGGTGGTGGTGGTGCTCCGGACGGCCGCCCCTGCGGGCAGTGCGGTGTCGACTCAGAACCGGGGAGATGCTCGGCGGCGTGGCGAGGCGCAGCGAGCGAAGCGCCCTAGCAAGCAGGCAAGCAAGCACGCGAATGATGCGCGCTACCGACGGCCGAGCGAGCTGCCGAGCGAAGATGAGCGGCCGACCCTAGACGAACGAACGCACGAACGTGTGCAGCGCAGGGATCAAACGATCCGGGCATCCGCAGCGCACCGCAGGCAAGGCAGGCCGGCGAGGGCGCAGCCAAACCTTCGGCCTAGGTATGCATCCAGCCCGAATAGCCGGCCGGCGCTTGCCGCCCCTGCCCTGCCCTGCCCTGGCCCGCCCTGCTTGCCTCGCTCGCCCCGCCTTGCCTGAGTCTGGCCTGCCCGCGCGACTTCGGAAGACGGCCGGTCGCGGGCTGTGCTTGGCCTGGCCTGGCCTGGCCTGGCCTTGGCCGGTTGGGGGGCCTGGCTTGGCTAACGCTTGGCCTGGCTCTGCCCACCGCCTTCGGCTTCCGCAACCCGAAACAAGAACGCGGCGGCGGGCCGTTGCCGGGGGGCCGTGCCAGCTGGCCCCACCTGCCTCGGTGCACCGCCTTGCCTGCCTCGTGCCGGCATGCTCCACTTCGGCCCGCCGACCGCCTGGGCCCAAACCTGCCTGCCTGCCTGGCTTGACCACCTACCTACATATCATCGCCGCTCGCCCGCTACGCCCCCCGTCCCTCCGGACCCCTGCCCCACTCGACCCCTCCGTCAGACCCACAGTCTTTCTAGCCACTACCACTACTGCCGCCGCTACCGCTTGATACCCCCCCTGGCCGGCCATCGCAACCGACCCCGACCATCCGCTACTCGCCCCCGCCGAGCACGAGCCACGGCGCACCGCACCGCGCCGTCATGCCCAGCGCCGTCCCTCTGCAGGCACGCCGCGCCGACGCCGGCGATGGTGACGATCCCGAAGGCGAGGGCGAGGCCCAGTGGAGCACCAAGGACATCTACTGGCGGGGTCAGCCCGCCAAGATCATCACCCAGAACCGCAACGGACCGTGCTCGCTCATCGCCCTCTGCAACGTCCTCCTCCTCCGCGGCGAGGTCCACCTGACGCCGCCCGACCGCCCCGTCGTCAGCTACTCGTACCTCTCGCAGCTCCTCGCCGACCACCTCCTCGCACGTTCCGCGTCCGACCCCTCGCTCGACCTCGGCGCCGCGCTCTCGATCCTGCCCCGAACCCAGCGCGGCCTCGACGTCGACGTCTGCTTTGCCTCCCACGACGCCTTCTCCACCACCCGCCCCGCCGCCGACGCCGACGCTCCCAGCCCAAGCGACCAGAGCGACAGCGGCGCGGGGGAGCTCGCCCTGTTCAAGCTCTGCGGCGTGCCCCTCGTCCACGGCTGGCTCGCCGACCCCGCCGATTCCCAGGCCTACCAGGCCGTCCTGCAGGCGGGCAGCTACAACCGCGCCGTCGACGTCGTCGTCCAGGGCGACGAGATTGCCAAGGGCGCCGTCGTCCAGGATCGCGGCGTCGGCGCCCTGGCGAGTCAGCTCGAAGCCGCCTCCCTCTCCAAGGCACCTGCTGCCGCGCACGGCGACGGCGCCACGGCGGACCCCAGCTCCTGGTCCGAGCACGAGGCCGCCCAGGTCCACCAGGCCCTCGTCGTCCAGCAGTTTCTCGACTCGACATCGACCCAGCTCACCTACCACGGCCTGTTTGTGCTGGCGCAGGCCATTCAGCCCGGCCAGCTCGTCGCCCTCTTCCGCAACTCGCACGTCTCGGTCCTCTACTGCCGCCTGCCCGACGAGGGCGGCGCAGATTCCGATGCCACGCCCAACCTCTTCACCCTGGTGACCGACTCGGCCTTTCTGATGGAGGACGAGATCGTGTGGGAGAGCCTGGTCGACGTCGACGGCGCGTCGAGCGAGTTCTTTGACGGCAAGCTGCGCAAGGCCACGGTCCGCGGCGGCGGCGACTTTGTCGGTGGCCGCCAGGAGGGTGGCCTCGTCGACGGCAGCGGCGGGCCCACGTCCCAGCAGATCGAGGACGCCGACTATGCGCTGGCCGTCCAGCTGCACCAGCGAGACCAGGACCGGCTGGAGGATGCGAGGCGCAGGCGCCAGTTCCGCAACGGGGCCGGAGGCGGCGTCGTCCCCCGGCCGGGAATGGGGCAAAGGCCACAGGGCAATGCACCTGGGTCGTCGTACGACGGGCACCGGATGGGAGCGCACAATGGCTACGATCCGGGCTACGCCGCAGCAGCGGCGGCCGCATCCGCGCCCATCGTCCCTACCGAGGTGTTTACCACGATGCGGTACCAGGTGCAGCCGGTCCGGGCCGACGGCGCTGCGGTCGGAGGGGCTTCCCTGATCGACATGGACGGCACGGCGCAGGGTCCCATCTCGCGAGCCGATGCCGATGCGCTCGTCGACGCGATGCTGCCCGACGAGCTCGTTCGCCGCAAGAAGATCGGAGCAGCGGCGCCGGCGACGGCAACGGCAACGGCGATGGCCGGACCGTCTGCGCCCAGCACGAACCCGTTCCTGGCGGAGGGCGAGATTGTGCAGCAGCCCGTCGTGGCTGTGCCTGTCCCGCCAACGAACCCGTTTGCCCCCGCGATGGCCGCCGCAGCTGCTGAAGAGGCTGCGCCGCTCGACCCGGTCGTGGCTTCGCACCGCCTGGCCCGCCACGTTCCGCTCCTCTCTGCGCATCTCGAGCGCCTCGAAGTCTCGGCGGGCGCCATGTGCCGCATCTACCCGCAGGCGTGGTCGGCGACGCTGCTCAAGCAACGCCGCGTGCTGGAAAAGCAAGAGATCCTGCGCGCCATCGACGAGGCCGTCTCGAGCGCACCGCCGGGCGGCAGCGAGGTGCGCGGCATCCGCGTGGCCATCAAGCGCGGCGGGCGCATCGAGGTGCACCTGCGCGACCTGACGCCGTTCCCGTCGTCGTCGAGCCTGTCGGGCGACGCCGACGGCGGGCTGGCGGGCCGAGCGCCGGCGCCGAGCGTGCGCATCGACACGGAGCCGACGCGCGTGCGGATGCTGGACCTGGAGCCGGTCGTGTTCAACAAGACTGACGCGCGCGGCTTCTACGAGGCGGCCAAAGTGCGCGCGTCGGCCGACCCGTCGGTGCTGAGCGGCGTGCGGCCCGAGGACGGGCGGTGCTTTGACGTCATCCTGTGGACCGATGAGGCGCTCGAGGGCGTGCAGGGAGGGACCCCAGCCGATGCGGGCGCGAGCGCGAGCGGTGCCGAGGCGCAGGTGACTGAGAGCAGCATCGCAAACGTTGTCGTCGAGCTGCTCCCGCCCGGTAGCGGCGCGGGTGCCCCCTCGCGGTTCGTGACGCCGCCGACGCAGCTGGGCATGCTTGACGGCCCGCTCCGGCGTCGCCTGGTCGACGAGGGGCTGATCGACGAGGAGGCCGTGGCCGTGTCGCGGCTGCGTGCGCTCGTGGCGCGCGGCGAGGCGCGGGTGTGGCTGTGCAACTCGCTGCGCGGCGTGTGGCAGGTCGAGCTGGTCGACAATCTGGCCTTTACGCTGCCTCCGGCCGGATCCCAGGGTCAGGCGGCCATGGCGCCGCGTCGGCGCGACGAGAACGGCGGCGAGGCCAAGAAGCGCTTCAGCAGCTTGATGCGCAAGAAGTCGTC